TATCAGGGGAACATGACAATCGAGGAGCTATTCACTGAAATTTTCACTGAAAGTGAAAAATTCGAAATTTTTGAAAAAGTATCAGGGTAACATGAACTTCGAGGAGCTATTCACTGAAATTTTCACTGAAAGTGAAAAATTCGAAATTTTTGAAAAAGTATCAGGGGAACATGAATGTCGAGGAGCTATTCACTGAAATTTTCACTGAAAGGGAAAAATTTGAAATTTTTTAAAAAGTATCAGGGGAACATGACAATCGAGGAGCTATTCACTGAAATTTTCACTGAAAGTGAAAATTCGAAATTTTCGAAAAAGTATCAGGGGAACATGAACGTCGAGGAGCTATTCATTTTTTAACCAATATTTCGATTTATTAGCCAGTTAGAAAAGAAAAAATTGGAATTATTTAAAAAAAAAAATTGAATGACGGCGGGATCGAACCCGTGCCGTCGGCGTGGTAGGCAAGCACGTTACCAATTAGACAACGCGCTCATTATAAAAATAAAATATCATTAGTGGTATATCTCCAATATATTGAATAATTTTTTTCATTTGATATTCCACAAGATGCGTCTTCCCCCTTCCGCTCGTTCTGCAGTCGACTAAATTTCAGTAAAACAAATAAAAAACAAAAACCATTCATACCACAGAAAATAAAATTCACCCCGTCGACTTGATGGCCACCCCAGCATTGCATGTGGCACCCTCCCTCTCTCGGGGTGCAGTACTACGATGCCGCTGGGGTCACTCCCCCCCCAGAACTGAACCTCTCCCTCAGTCAATCCTCTTTGGCTTTCCCTCTAAAAAATCGAATCCAAAGAAAAATCGATTTTTGAAAGACTTCACGAGATTCATAATAATCCAACCAAAATAATAATAATAATAAATAAATAATACTAATAATAATCTCTTCAAAATCATTAAAGCTTCTCAACCGTTTATAAATAAATAAACAATATTTATGATGACAGAAATATGTCGATCAGATCATTCCTCTCATTATCCGCCGAGTTCCGCTGATTTGATATATTTTATTTTTTTTTTATTTCGATTACTTTGACTTCTCTCCTCTCCATTTTGAAGGGTCCGGCCTCTCGCACCTGTCAATCATGTAATTAAATATTTTGGTTAGACTTCATTGTTATGAATTTAATATCAAAGATATCAATAATCCACCCGAGAATTGGGACTCTGGACCGGTCCTCCGGGTTAAACTCCCTCGGATATATTTATACAGTTGGAGGTGAAATATAAAAATGATAAAATCTTTCTGTGGATTGGAATTCGATTTTACGCGTCACCCTGAAAACTAATGGCTAATTAGTGATTATTCGAGTGACAGCGTCACCTAGTCAGGGGCAAACAGGTGAGTGAGTGATTCATTATTGGTAATTATTGAATTGCCTGAAGTTTCAGTCATCAATGCATTTTTTGGATGCCAATGTGGCGACTGGTATCACCGGAAATAAACATCCTTTGGTAATTTTTCCCTCAAAATATCCGAAAACATTTTCACACATTCATTTTATCTATCCATCCATTCTCTTTTCTGTTGCGTGAAATTTATCTCATACAAATATATTGAAACCTCTTAAATTTTCACTGAATGTAATTATTTTCACTTATTTTCATTAATTTCACAAATTTATTTACTGTCAAAATTAATAATAAAAAATCATTCATATTACAAAATTCGCTGAGTCTTGATAAAAAATGAGAGAATTCCCAGAGAAGAGAATATTATCCTATTGTTGCCCACGACATTTTGATAATGGAGATAAATATTTATCGATTTGTTACAGATTAATTTAACGAGTAATAAAAAATGGCGATGCAGGAGCAAATGTCAATAGTTCAATCGAAATTTACGTCTGGGGAGACAGTAGTGATTACTATAGAGGCCTCACTGATGCAGGGATGGGCCAAGGCCCTTCGTCTCCTTGCTCTAGTCAACAAAGGGCCAACATACGCCCTCGTGGTTCTCCTGACATCCCGGAGTCCACCCCAGGTCTACAGCGATTTAACAATCGAACGAGTGCTGCCTATCGATCAAGAGTTCAAGTGTGACATTGACACTGGTAATCAATTGCAAGAGGGATTGGATGTTTACTTAAACGTTTCCTCGAGAAAGCAGAGGCTCGTCTTCGAGATGAGACCTGGTGTGGGCACAAGCTCGATTGTTTCAGAAATATTCAGAGCAATCGAGGTATCGCAGAAGAATAAAAATCCAACGACTGATTATTTGTGGATTCAGAAATTAACAGGTATCAAATTATTTGAAATTTTCGAATCAATAAATTCTAAATTAATTCATTGACGTGAAATGTTTTCAAACTAAAAATAAATCCCAGGGATTGATTCTTGTATTATTCTAATAAAATTCGAATCATAATAAAGGGATCGAAGGAATAGATCAAATAAATGAATGGAATTTGAGAATTAAAAATTTCAGGAAGCACCAGAGCCCTGGAGAATGCCTCAGGCGACGGTCCAGATATCGTAGACCCTCTGGTAGATCTGGAGTCTCCAGACCTAGTGGTGCCCCGTCGGAATATCGCGTCAGGAAAAACACCAGTAGCAGCTCGAGAATCAGTGGTGCGTTATCAAATGGCGTGCAAAGAGGACGACTACACGTACACCGAGACTTACAGAGTCTTCATAGGTACCTGGAACGTCAACGGACAGCCCCCGAGTAACGTGTCCATCGAGGAGTGGCTGAGCAGCGACAGAGTGCCTCCAGATTTATACGCAGTTGGTTTCCAAGAGCTGGATCTCAGTAAAGAGGCATTTTTATTTAATGACACACCACGAGAGGAGGAATGGCGACAAATGGTGACAAAATCCCTTCACCCTAAGGGAAAGTACAAGCAGATAGCACTAGTTCGTCTAGTGGGGATGATGCTCATTGTTTTTGCTCAGGAGGTGCACGTACCGTTCATAAAAAATGTCTGCGTGGACACTGTGGGGACTGGAATAATGGGAAAACTTGGGAATAAGGGCGGTGTTGCTGTGAGCTGCTCCATCCATAGTACATCGATTTGCTTTGTCAATGCACATCTTGCTGCTCACTGCGAAGAATTCGAGAGGAGAAATCAGGATTACGCGGATATATGCTCTCGCCTCTCCTTCACGTCCCTCGTACCACCGAAATCATTCAAGGATCACGACCAGATCTACTGGCTGGGTGATCTCAATTACAGAATCACTGAAATGGATGCAACAACGGCGAAACAGTACATCACATCGAATAATCTCAATCCTGTTCTCACCTTGGATCAGCTGCATCAGCAGAAGAAACTCGGTCGTGTCTTCCTGGGCTTTCACGAGGCTGAGATCACATTCAAGCCCACCTACAAGTATGATCCAGGTACTGATAACTGGGATTCATCCGAAAAAGGGAGAGCTCCTGCTTGGTGTGATCGTGTGCTATGGAAGGGCGAGTCAATAACATCGATAAAATACAGAAGTCATCCTGATCTCCGAATTTCAGACCACAAACCAGTATCAGCTATTTTTGATTCTCAAGTAAGAGTAATTGATATGACGAAGTACAGAAAAATTCATGAAGAAGTCATGAAGAAACTCGATAAATTGGAGAATGAATTTCTACCACAAGTGATGGTGGACACGACAGAGATTATTTTTGATATTCTCAAGTTTCTCGAGCCAAGCAGTAAAGAATTGATTATAGCAAATACTGGACAGGTGCCAGTGCAGTTTGAATTTATCAAGAAATTGGATGACACTAATTACTGCAAGGATTGGCTGCACATCGAGCCGTACACTGGATTTATAAAGCCTGGTGAGAAATGTGACATTAAATTGGAGGTTTACGTTGAGAAAAAAGTGGCATGCAAGTTGAATTCCGGGGAGGACAAGCTTTATGATATTTTAGTGCTGCATTTGGAGGGTGGAAAGGATATATTTATAACAGTCACTGGAACGTACGAGAGAAGTTGCTTTGGATCCTCGATGGAAGCTCTGGTGCATATTCCTGTGCCAATCAGGGAATTGTCTGTTGGAAGACTCGTGGAGCTGGAGAATAATAAAAATCCTTCTGGTGAGCCTTATCCTGTACCTAAGGAGATCTGGCTACTTGTTGATAGGCTGTACAGGCATGGAACAAAGACACCTGGATTGTTTGAAACACCGGGACTTCACAGTGAAATCATTGCCATCAGGGATTGGTTGGATCTCGGTAGTCAGGAACCAATGCCTGGTAGTGTACATTCTGTTGCTGAGGCACTTCTTTTACTCCTGGAATCTACTGCTGAGCCACTGGTTCCGTACAATCTTCACAGCTTGTGCTTGAGTGCTGCTACCAGTTATTTACAGTGTAAACAGGTTTGTTAATTGAAATTATTCTTTTAAAAAATCAATTGATGAGAATTATGAATTTTTATTTGTCATTGTTTCAAGTTGTCATTATTTTATTCATGGTTTCTTATTTATTTTTACAGCTGGTCATGCAATTACCAGACATTCGAAGAACTGTGCTCCTTTACATCTGCTCTTTCCTACAAGAATTATTGAATCATTCGCAGGAGAACGATCTGGATGCCAAGACTTTGGGTAAAAGTGGAAATTTAATTTTTTTAATTCTTCGGTATTAATTTTGCTTTTGATTGTTTAAGGATTTTAATAATTTTCATGTTTTGTTCATCATTTCAGCGACATTATTTGGATCGATATTTCTTAGAGATCCCCCGAGGAGTCGAGACGACAGGAGTCAGAGGAATCGTCTCAGTCAAGCGACTTTCGATCGAAAGAAAGCAGCATTCGTCTACCATTTTCTGGTGAACGATCAGAGTGATTTCTTAGGTCGATAATTGGCAGTTCGATTGAATTTATCATCATTCGATAGTTTCCTCAAATTGTTTTCCTATTTCAAGATAAAAAATTATGAGTGCACGGGATAAAAAGGGAAAAATTCGGATAATAATCGAAAATAATTTACCAAAATCGATTACACTATCCATTATCTATCAGTATAAAACAAATACTCGAATTGTTCTATAACTTTTTCACTTTTTTTCACTGCACCTGTGATTTTTTTTTTATTCTAGATAGGAATTACGAAAAACTATTAACGAAAGATGATAGAACCAAGTCTTAACGAAATCATTAATTATTCGATGTAACGCTTCTATACTCTCCAGCAAAAGTGATAATATTTATCTTTGTGCAAAAGCTGAATTTCGAGGGGAAAATGTGGATGACGGGAGATAAATCAAACGAAATTCAACGATTAAATAAATTTTCGAGTCATTAAACTGATTTTCTGACGATTAGCCAATGGTTTTGGCTAATTACCGAAGAAATGTCCATTAATCAATTTAAAATCGAATTTTTTTTCTCCAGAAACTCTTGAAATTGCACTTTCTCGTGATTTATCTCGTATCCTCATGTCACCACTGAATTATACTCGCGAAAAAGTGTTATTAATGATAAGAATAATGAAAAGTAGTGAAACGCCAAATTAGGAAGGATAAGCTTCAGTGAAACAACGCCTAATGCTAAAGAAAATTGAATTTTCGATTAATTTATTCTCTAATGAATTACGAAGAAGGAAAGTAACTTTCACATGATAAATAAATTGAATTGATAAAGTATCAGTACTAAAAGATTTTGCCATAGAAATACTGAACTAGTACAGGGAAATTATTGAATAAATGACACGTTTTAGTATTTAGGAATGAAGTTATTTTTCTCAAGATGTTCCCTGTATTTTCATAATTTTATACTAATTCGGGTATAGCTATTCTCGGTACACGTACTCTGTAAATAATTATTTATGACAATTAGTAAGATATTCGATGTCTGCTCGTTACCATTTAGATGGATCCAATGAGATTATTCAGTACAATTTATTGATTAATTATAGATTATTATTTATTACTTCGCGGAGGGGACAGAGGAGGGGAGTGAGTCGAAAAATTTTTGACAATGATATATATGATATTTTTTGGTAATTAGATTCAATTGAATTGAATTTTTTGACACTGATTGAAAGGAATTAAATTTTTTATTGAGATTACGTGGAATTTTTTCCGTTTCTGCGTGGAGATTATTTTTCGACTCGTCTTCTTGGAAGATCTCACTTCTAAAAATCATTAGGTAGAAAATTGGATAACGATTGAGTCACTATTATGAGATTGTTTATTTTAATGGAGTAGTAATTGTATTATAAATCCATTGAGTTTAAGTATTCATCTAATGCATTTGTAGAATCGAATTGGGCAATTCATGACATCAATTACTTCAGCTTTGTTGATTATTTTTTAAATAAAGAGAATCGCTCAATTTGTTTAAAATATTTCGAAGTAATTTGGGTGAATATTTTGATCGATTAATTATTTTAATTGACACTACTGTTTTTTCATTAACAATATCAATTCGATTACTCGGATATTTTATCGGTGAATTCTAAATACGAGAAATTTCGAATTAATTGGCAATTTATCACGCGATTTAAAATAATTAACACAATTGAGAAAATTTGTAAATGTTCTTATCAGTAATAGATTTATCACACCGATTTGTTTGCTTATTTTTACGATGCCATTACACCAAATAAAAATCTAGAACGTAAGGCTTCAAATCCTGCTTTAATAATTTGTAAATACCCACAACTTTTCTCATTATTTATTTATAAATTGACGTACGCCCTCTGCTGTCAGGGAAAAAGCCATTTGTGATCGATTTCAAAATGCATAACGTCCTTGTACAGCACTTTCAACAAATTGTTCTGTCTGACTAATTTTCTATTTAACAAATGACGAGAAAATTTAAATACTATTCTGTGCCTTTCTGTTCTTGCAATTATCCATTTATAATTGTTAGGAGAAAATTGGTGATTGAGAAGGTGAAAATCGTTTGGAAAATGACTGGTGAGTCTGAAGGAAAAACCTTGAACTTCATCGCTCTAAACTCGTGACTTTCAAGTCGACAAATTGATAAAATTCATATTTCATACCCTTAATGAGGACCAACAACTCAATTATAATTACAATAACAATAATAAATTCACAAGTGGACATAAATATTTCAAACAAATCCCATTAAGTCACTGACTACCGAAATAATTTTACAATTCGTATCAATCTCCACGAATCTACATTAATTATTAAGCAAAAATTAACTAAAAGTAAAAACTAACCCGAACAAGAAGATAAATATGAAAGACAGAAATTAATTTGTTTATCAATTATTTTTCCGATTGGTTCTAACAAAAAATTCACGTGTTACCTAAATTTAAATTTCAATCAAAAAATTTCAATTCCAAAACCCATATTTCTGTTTAAAAATCCCCCCAGGACTCCGATGACTCCCAAAATCTCAGGAGAAGTGCATCAATTCACAATAAAATAGGACCTGAGGCCCAAAAATGTATCAACCCGGAGTGTCGCACACGTTCTCCTCGAGTTCGAGCTTGAGCCATCCCCTGCCGTGGAGCACTCGAAATTTCCGTCAATCCCCAGCCCCCAGGCGACTGACCCTCGACCTTGGAAAGGATCCAGGGGGAAAAATCCCCGAGGAGGTGAAAAACGAGATCAACCCGAAGCATCAGAATTCAAAATTGAAGAGTGTAAATCCCCAGAATTATTATCCCTCAACCAGATACAATCCTCCTCTCCTCCAATGGCCAAAATCCGATCTCCTGATGCCCAAAGGTATCTCCACAGTCACGGAGAAGAGGCTCCTGGCAAGGGCTGAGGCTCTCCATCAGAGGAATCAAACTGGAATCAGTGCAGCTCAGTCTCTACCTAAGATCAATGAATCCATCGCTCTCCAGCTGCACCAGAATCATCTAAACAGCAAGAGAGCACCCTGGGCAAGGGCTACAGCCAGTGAACCTCAATCATTATCCCAGAATCGAGGTGGAAATGTTAGGTACAGACTAGCTGCCAAAGCACCTGTTCATTACAACCTCAGGTCATCAACTGCCCATGATTTTGCGTGGTACAACAATTCCAGAGTCTCTGGCATCTGGAAATAATCTATTTTTTTGTAATTAGTCATTTATTCGTAGTCCTGGTAATGATAATTCTATTTAATTCCGCAAAATAATCCGGAATTATTTTATTTCGATAGATTTTTGTTGATTAGATATTTTTAATTCTCAATTGAAACATTGATTCAATTTTCTGATATTGTCTTGACAATTTGTTGGTGAAGATTGAAATCACGGTTTTTATTATTTTATTAGCTCTTCTTTGTGTAAAATAAATGAGTACATGAAATTAGTTGATTAATTAATTTAAATTATTAGTGATGTGATGTTTTTGGTGGTGGGAATATTCACTGGGGATTTTTTGACTGCATTAATCTCTGGGAATTATTTGAAATCAGGAAAATTATTTCATCTCGAAGAGTAATGAACTCGTTCATTAATTAAATCAATGGATTGATCTTATCGGGTAATAAAGTGACCAGAATTTATAGAAATAAAGATAATGATTAACAAGGGAGTCATTCAGTATTGTTTATGGACTTTCATCGAGTAAAATCTACTGGAGATTCTCTGGAAATTCATCGACTGAAGAATTACGTCTTTGAAATACTAAATTCATAAAAATTTTCATCTTTTATTTATTAATTATTCCATCACCTTCGCGATAAGAAACAATTAAAATTTTTTATTCATTTTCAATTCCAACAATTCAAGTTCTCCAGGAGATAATTACGTTAATTACGACTTTAAATGAATCTTTAATAATTAAACATTGAAAAATTCGTGGGAATTCTCCTCATAACAAAATATAATATTTATAATCAAATAATAAATATCCACAACAAGATGAACAATTAAAAAGTCTAACCCAACTCCTCACCAGTTTCACTATTCCCCATTTTAACAATCAAACATTTACAATAAATAATTGAATGATAATTCCAACCCCACGAGATTAGAAATTAATTTCAAATAATTTATTTATACTCTATCCACTCCAAAATGGATAAAAAATAGAATGAATATAAATAAATCGTCAGAACATCCGATTATGTCACTGATTTGAGACTCAAGTTCATTATCCATTAGCCTTCAATAAAAATCCCACAATCTTCAGCAAATGACAGGAATAAACAATAAACTTTCTGACAAAAATAAAAACTGCACACGAAATTTTATTAGTGGAGTGAATCCTCCAAAAAATGTACTGCAGCTAACTTCACGTTAATTATCTCCAGTTTATCATTGAAAGTTGATGTACACCCTGAAGATAAAAATTGTATTAACATTTATTTTATTTTTGTGCCCCTTGAGTTACTTCAATCCATAACCAACGAATTGAAGTTCTCCCAGTGATTTAGTCACTCGTTAGAATCCACGTTGCGGTTGTCAATTAAATATTTGTAGTCATCATCCAGCTGTCGATGTTTCACGATTTCTAGTGACGCATTTGAATCCGAATGTTCAGTTGATCCAAGCAACACTGAGGTGAGCAGGTTAATTGATTTTCAATTATTACTCGAACAATTGAGCCAATAATAATTGACAGTTTTCATTATTTTTTCTTGATTTCAGATTGATTTTTTATGAATTCTCCATGCAGATTTTATCAGAAAATTGAAGAAACGATTGAGCAAGTGATTTTTCGATTTTTCATTTGACTATTGCTAATTACTCGAGGTTGTTATCAGTTTGTCGGAATAATAGGGCGTTAATGTCGTGATCTTTGTGACAGGTGACAACGGTTGGGGATTTTGGAGGTTTTCTTTTCTTAAAATGGATAAACTCAGGAGAGCCTTGAGTGGTCAGGAGCAGTGTGATGAGGAGAGTGGAATCATGAGTCAGGTGAGAATATTTTTTTTATTCCAATGATTTTGTTTTAATAAAAAAAATTCCGCAATCCAAGTCGTAAAGACAATTTGTCATTTCTTCAAATACCGGTTTATCTCGAGAATTATTAATGTCAGGAAAAAATGTCAGAGATACTTCCTATCAGAAATTTAATTAGCTACAAAAAAGTCCTCTGATGTTTTCATCATAAATCCATGGTTTATTAAATAAAATCGTTTTTTAATAAAAACTTGCGAAACCGAAAATTGAAGAATGTAATTAAAAAATTGTTTATGAAATAATTGACAATTTTTTATTGATCCAAGTAATTATCGAGTTACCAGAAAATATCGGAAGAAATTTCAATTTATTCTGGAGATTCTTCAATTTTTCTTAATGCAATTAATTCGTAATTAGTTAAAGGGAATTAATTAATCTGAATAAATTAATCTTTGTTTATGCTGCTAGGGTGAGACTGATTTCATCGTAAGTTCCAGACTTGAAGAAAAACTAATTAATTGATAAATTCCTGAAAGAGACAGCAATTATTTTTTAATTCATCCGAGAATTTAAAATATTTTCCAAAAGGAAAGAGAATATCAATAAAAAAATGAGTGCAGTGCTCTATCAATCGTTAGCAAGTAGAAAAAATATTCTCAACTCTTAATTAATTAACAATTGATCATCAGGTGATGGACGAGACGACTCTCAGCTGGTCAACACGAATAAAGGGTTTTGCAATATGTTTTATCGTGGGAATTCTCCTCTCCTTCCTCGGTTCGTTCGCCCTTTTCCTCCACAAAGGACTCAAAGTTTTCGCTGTGTTCTACACCATAGGGAACATCGTCTCCCTGGCAAGGTAAATTATCCCGGGAATAAATTCTCCTGAGAGATCAATCCACTCACTTATCGAAGAACATTTAAATAATTTAAAAACTAATGACTATTTCTCTCATCTTCTGATTTCAGCACGTGCTTTCTCATGGGACCAGTCAATCAACTGAAAAAAATGTTCGCAGCAACTCGAATTATCGCAACAGCTTTAGTCTTCGTGTCCATTGCAATGACTTTGTACGCAGCCATTGGAGTGAGTGATTCTCAAATTTAATAGGATAAATTCCTTCGAAAAAACCAGCAAAAAAACTTGAATAATTTTTATAATTCAAGATTGGACATTATTTCTCGTTACAATTTCAAGATTTTTATTTAAAAACCTGGGGATTAGGGCAGAAGATGAATGAAAAAAAAATTCAATCATTGAATTATTTATAATTATTTAAACATTAGAACTCTTCGATGAATTTGTCCCTCTGTAGACTCAATGAATTAATAATTAATTCAAAATAATTATGAATTATACAAAATTATTATTTTTCAGTTGGAGAGGGCAGGTCTTGCGCTCCTGTTTATAATAATTCAGTCCTTGGCAATGACTTGGTACTCATTATCTTATATTCCCTACGCAAGAGATGCTGTGAAAAAAGCTGTGGAGTCATGTATATCGTAGAAGAAGAACAATTTTCATTGGCATCAATGATTTTTTATATGAGACAATAACTATTACTAAAACTATTTAACACATGTTGATAGCATTCATCTGAGCATTATCAATCGTTTATAACATTTATATTTTTGATGGAATTCATTATTGTGTCGTCATATTCTCTTATCATGAGTAATATTATCATATTAATATTGTTATTACCATAAGGCAGGATAAGAGGTCAAATATTCTATTGCGTAGAGTAGAACAATTATTTCTGTCAAGAAGATAAACTCAGTGCTTAAAATCTCTACGGTAAATTTATATTTAAATTATTATTCGTCTCAGATAATTTTATTTGGTGATAATTCATTTAATTGGCGGAAATTATTCTTCTCTACGCAATTTTTTATGCACGATATTCGAATAATTATTGTTACAGTGGAAAATTCATAGAAAATCTGAATTTTTATTGAAGTGTTCAATGGAAAAAAATTCGGTATAATCCTTTGAAGAGTCAATAGCATTTTGAAATAGAAATTATTTTTAAAACAGAATATGAATATTTTGAGAGAATTGTATGGAAAATTCACTGAGTTTTTCAATTAAATAATTATCTGTGTGGAAAATCCTCGTCGGTATTATCTCGCAAGGAGCTCTCCCGAGTGAAAAAATTATACAATTATGGTGTTAAGAAACTGGAACTGAACCTGCGAAACACAAAAATTCTGTAACATGTGCCTTACGTTGTTACGTGAACTGTAAATACAATTGATTGAAAATTCACTCGTCATGGGACATTGAATGAACGTGAATTTGAGGAACGGGTTTGATACAATAGTTTTACATCACTGTGGTATTAAATAATTAGAAAATATAGTTGTTTATCACTTTTTACAGAACTTTAAATACATTTCCTGATTTCCTAATTCACTCTTTTTCCTAGGTTTTGGGGATAATTTTCCTACTCTTATCAAGCTGAGGCGATACATTGGGTACTCATTTGAAAGCTTATTGAATAAGCTACAAGAAAATATGGGAATTGTAGAATTAACACCATTTTTTATGGAGTTATCGCGTTTTGAACGTGGAAATGTGATTTTCATGTTTTACCGAAATTTCAAATTCGGTTCATTTTTTTTATATTTTTAAAGTCAATAAATAATGGATATTTATATACCATTTCCAGATATATACCAGAATTTTTCGATCTTTGAAATGCCATGATTTGCATCTGATTTTCCGTTGTTTTTGTACATTTATTTAATTTTTTCTATTTTTCAATGGCACGCCACACTTTAGAGTTCATTTGTTGATTGCTAATTAATGCTGTATTTAACATAAGTCATCATAACATATTGTATATCATTTTGAAGATCTCAATGAGCTCTTTACAATGCACTTCGAAATTCCGAATTCCATCGACTCGATCACGAATTATCGTCGATAATGTGTCAAATTTCACGTGTCACCTTTCGACAAACGCTAATTTGTTTAAATAAAATCGCTAATAATTCCCTTATCTTCGCAAATACTCATGTCTTCAATTTTCAAGTACAAACTCACCGAACACGTGATCTAAAATCACAATTATATAAAAATATCGTATTGAATTGTTTAATCGACTCTAAACAAAAATCGAAAAAAATCGAGAGTCGCAATTTTATTAATTAATTCTCCAAAAAGAAGTTGTAAATTTAGAAAAATAGTAATGTTCCTGATCCTCTGCAGTACAATTATTTCAATAGAAATTCCTCATCTCCGTAGAGACTAGAAATAATTATTCTTCGAGCTCTTCATCATAATGACACACGTCATTAATAAAGACTCGTATCGTAATGCAAAATTCTGGTTTCGATAAACAATTTATGAATTTTGTGACCTTTTCCACAGGAATAGCCACTCAACATTTTCATTCTCATGATTTTCGAGAGGTGATTATCGCCCGTTCACTAATTATTCTCGCACTTCCATCACGGATTTTTCATTAAATTCAATTACCCATTACCTCATTACGCCGTCACGTAATTAATTAACTATTCAATTGATCTTCCTTGTGGGAGTAGTCATTCAGAAAATAATATCAAATGTCTACAATTTTTTCTTCACACCCACAGTTAAAAATCAATTACATTAATTAATTAATTAATCCACTAAATTATTTATTGTTGCTACAATTTAAATTATTTAAAATACATTATTATTATTATCGTTTGGATTATTTGAATTAACTTTATCAGTTGCTTACAGTTGTCAATAGAAATTTTTTTTTGTGGAAAATTCAAATTTTAGGGAATTTAACAAAAAAAAAATTGTGGAATTGCGAAATGAAAAAAAAAATTGTGAAAAAAATTAGCAGAGCACACATTGCACTCGAGAACCTGTTCTCAACAATATATTATGTAAGATCCTCAGGGAGAATAAAAAATGTACACAGTGTAAAATTAAAATGACGATTTGCGCAGTCCGCGGATTTAACGCATAAAATACGCACGAATTTTCCTTAATCCACCGGCAAAAAGAAAATTATAAAATTATTCAATTATTTATATCATTAGAATTCAGTGCGAAAGGTGAAATAAAAATTAATGATAAAAAAAAAATTCTTAGCTCATGATAACGAGAGAGATAATGAACGGGAAAATGAATTAATTAAATAAATAATTGAAACCTCAAAAAAAGGAGAATGAAAAAAAAAACTGAAAATTTTCACTTCTAATATTTCTAATGAACAACGAACTCCTATCCGATAAATTTATTTAATGCAGGTAAATAAATATTTTCATATTCAAAACACAAAATTTATTTAAACATTATAAATTAAATACAAAAATATTTATTCACATGTCCTAAATAAATTCGATTGACAGGAGTTCATGAATTTAATTTAAAAAAATGGAGTAAGAAACACAATTGCTAAATAAATAACAATTAATAACAGTTAATTATTGACTGAAATTGTTTATACACAAATAATTGCATTAATTACCCTCTATTTATCGAGTGACTGTTTGTCTCAGTGTATTTGTTTTTCCACAGGGAAAATTCCCAGTGGATCGTGTTGTCATAGTTTTTTTTATCGATTATCGTTTTTTTAGTTAAACAAAAAATATATTGCACGTGCGATAAAATGCACTCGACATGAGGTCGCGCACGTGGCGTTTCGGGGAGATCCATTATTCCAAGGCGTTTTATTTTCATTTATTCCTTTTTCAAGACAGTATTACGACACCGATACGAGACATCAAGATCATTCTCTCACTCAATAAATTTGCACTAACAAAAAATAAAAAATATAAAAAATACAACAGAATTAATTTATATCAGTAAAATTTCATAATTATTATTCCATCATCACTCCCCCTCTCCCGCCGCCACCCCTCCCACCGCCCCCTCAACCCCATTATCTCTTCGAAAAATTCAATCTTTGAACAATAAATTAACAATTATCAACAATTAATAAACAAAATACAATGAATTTTATTAATTTTATTAAATGTTTATAGAAAACGTTTTACAAAATTTTACTTTTTCCATTTTTTTCACTCGAGATTATAATTATAATATTGTGTTAAATAATAATAATAATGTCAATTGTATGTTGATTGTTATTGTTATTAGTGAAGGTAACGAAAATATTAAAATTTAAGGAATATAATATATTATTTAGTAATTAGAAGTAATTAGAATAATTTCAATCGTAAATTGATTTTTCAAGAAAATATTGAAATTCTTGATTTTTAATAATAATTCTGTTGAGATTATTATTATTATGGGATTAATTATGGAATTGTTTTAATTGAAGTAATGATTATGCGTGTGGCAGTGGAAGAAACGGAATTAATTTTTTTTATCGTTTTTATTGATAAAATGTTGAAGTTGTCAATTTTATTATTTAGTAATTAATATTATTTAGTAATTAATTGAGAATAATTTGAATCGCAAATTGATTTTTCAGGAAATGTTTGAAATTCTTGATTTTCCAAATAATTACTTTGAGATTATAATTATTATGGGATTAATTATGAAATTGTTTTAATTGAAGTAATTAATAATTCTTTTTAACGTTTTTATTGAGAAAATGTTGTTAATTTTCCAAATGATTTTTTCAAGAATCAATTTTGTAATCAATCCCGTCTAGACAATAATGACAATAATTGGGGCAGAGGGCGTAATTTAGGGGTTGATGAGGGGGTAAACACCTCGAATCGAGAAAATATCTGTCTCTGAGAGTGAAATGAGAGGCTCCAGTGAATTTCTGCCCGAAGCTAGACCAGAGTTCGTTTACACCGGACCATTACAAGTGAAAATAAATCTATCCGATTGAATTAAACAATTCCTTTTTCAAAATAAATATGCAATTAAGGATTTTTTAATGCAAATCGATAAATACTTCGAATAAAAGAAATCACAATCCCATCGATTTTTAATAAATCGAGAGTAAAATCGGTTTTTGGTCATTTCCTGATGATTAAAAATTCAAAAACGTATTCAACTTTTTCATTCATTCACTCCATTAATTTTCCATAAATTATTTATATAAAAAATGCAAAACATTTGTTTTTGATAAAGAGAAAAAATCCGATTTTTTAATCGAATATTTCCCTTTAACGAAAAATTGAAAATTATTTGTGTATTTCATTATTTGCAGAATTCATTTCCCATCGATTATTTAAATAAAGAATGCAATACATTTGTTATTAATAAATATAAAAACCCCGATTTTTTATCGAATATTTCTTTCCAACGAAGAATAAAAAGTCATTTGTATATTTCATTAATTCCCTCGATTAATTTTTCCATAAATTTTTCCATTAATTTTCTATAAATTATTTATATAAAAAATACAAAACATTTGTTTTTGATAAATAGAAAAAATCCGATTTTTTAATCGAATATTTCCTTTTAACGAAAAATTGAAAATTATTCGTGTATTTCATTATTTGCAGAATTCATTTCCCATCGATTATTTAAATAAAAAATGCAAAACATTTCTTATTAATAAATATAAAAACCCCGATTTTTTATCGCATATTTCCTTTCAACGAAAAAAAAAAAATCATTTCTATATTTCATTAATTCCCTCCATCAATTTTTCCATAAATTATTTAAACAAAAAGTGCAAAACATTTGTTTTTAATAAATATAAAAACCCCAATTTTTTATTTAAACAAAAAGTGCAAAACATTTGTTTTTAATAAATATAAAAACCCCAATTTTCTAATCGAACATTTTCCTCCAACGAAAGACTGAAAAATCTAAAAACAAATTCCCCAAAAATAAAAAATGTTTTTCTTCAATAACTAAAAATGGATTTGCAATGAAAATTAATGAGCTAGCCGAATACAATTGAATTCGGGGAATCCCGGGGCGCAAATGCCCCAATAAATCGGTGAATTGATTGAATGCAGAATGGTCTCGATCCCATTGAAAATAAAAATAGCAAAAAAATAGTCTAGACGACTACGAGGGACTAGACGACCTCGACCACTGATTTCCGTCAGTCCCAGGATTCCGGTGGGCGGTCACACCTCCCACCCCCTCATCAAAACATCAATTAGCCCATCAATTCATTCATTATCTCCACTACGAGAACAATCAATGGAAAAAGAAAAAAAAAAAACGTAAACAGTTGTATTTTTACCTCTTTTTTTCCTGGGAGTGAGCGATGGAACTCTTCTCCTGCTCCACGTGTCCCCTTCTATCAGACCCTGTCAACTTTCCGGGGGTAGATTCACCAAGTATATAAGGGAATCGTCTTCCCATATGCACAACGCAAATGCAAATCGTCTGTGTATGCAACAGCTTTAAAAAATCATTTCTCCAATCGAAACGCAAAAAAAAAACAGAAATTCAAACTAAATGTTATAAATATTATTTAATTGTACAATCTGTTTATAATTAATCGATTTGTGAGTGAACATGAGGATAATTAAATAGTTACACATGATGACAAGTAATTAATTTTCGTTATTTATTTAAATAAATTGAGTCTAGTGGGAAAAGGAGATTTTTTGAGCATTCATTCAACTCTTCGGTGAGTTTTTTGTGAATATCTCGGAACCCAGAGGAGATACGATAATTTTTTGTATAAGCTTTTTTCAAGAGAAGAATACCACCTGAAAAAAAGGTCCAATACAAATTTTTCTATCTGTCTTACATTTTGAGATATTCCCCGATAACTCATGTGTTTGCTGGATTGAGTAGTTATCCTTCACCTCGTCGCTGTATATCAAGTTTTTGAGGAATATCTCGGGATCTAGGGGAGATAGCGAAATTTTGTTTATACATTTTTTGTAGGTCTTATTACACTCTGCAGAAAAGGTCATGATAACAAATGCGCTATCTCTCTTAGATTCCGAGATATTTCCGAAAAACTCAGTGCAGTGACAAGTCGACTTCGTTATGTCTTCGGTTTTGTGATTAATTAGTTAATAATAATTGTTATTATTGTTGATTAGTGGGGGATAATGCTGGGATGAAGGCGATTGAGATTTTTTTCAATTAGGGAAAAAACTGTGAGTGATAAAATTAAAATGGGAGAGACTGGAAGTGTTTTACACATGGGCTCGTGGGTCACTTTGGCATTGTCCATCGGATTAATTTCAGTGATTATTGGATTGTTTATAAAAAGAGCAAGATTTTTACATTGTTTACGAAATGTACCATTTCCATCAGCTCTACCAATTATTGGTAATGCCTATCAGCTCAACTGCAGTCTCGAAGGTAAATTTTCAATTTCTCATTTTTTCCAAATTTAAATAAATCGGTTATTAATATTTATTATTTATTATCACTATTAATATTATTGTCATTGTTGATTTATGGTATCCCCTGATCTTTGGTAATACAATCTTTGGAATAATTCGTAATTCACTGCGAGGGGAATTTTTTTAATGAAATTTAATTGAATTCGAAAATTTACGGAAATTATTTCGATTTGTTTTAGCCGATTGTTGTAAACTATTGTTTAATTATTCGATTTATTTTTGGTTTTGGGTTAATTCGGGATTTTATCCGGAAAATTTTGATAATTAATTAGTAATTTTTTTAATTTTTGTGATTGGATTTTTAGAAATTGTTTTGATATAATTTTTTAATGGTTTTTTTAATAATAAACAATGAGCGAAATTATTTATTGAATTAGGAGAAAGAGAATTCTTGGATTTTAGATTTTAATGCAATTTTTTAAAATAAAGTAAAGTGACAATTTTATTTTTATTATTTTTTTTGGGGGTAATTTGACGGTAATTTTTCTTAGTGACATTTTTCATTAATTTCTTTGATTAGTAATTATTTTCACGGAGTAATTATTGAAAAATCAGAGATTTCAGACATTTTCAAAACATTTGACTGAAAAAACTCTGAAATATTCTATAAACAAATGAATTATGTAACACCTAATATATTAAAAAATAAATAACAAATCCATCAATAAATATTGGCGAATAAATTATGAACATTCAACCTCCCGTGAAATCGAATGCCCCGAAAAAAAAAATGGCTTTCCGTACCTTGAATATCCAAAACAGAAGAAAAAATTTATTAAAAAAACAATATAATTAATTAAAAAACAATTGTTAAACAAATTAAACAGAATTAAAGAGCAACTCATCCAAGAGCGCGAATGAACTGTCAACATGAGTTCCATCGAAAATTTCGTAAATAAAAAATAAAAAATGAAAAGTGATAGAGAGATGAAAGAGAAAAAGTCTTTATCTCCTGGTGGCGATAAAAAATGGTAAAATTGAATATTGGCGAAAAAAAAGTGAATAAATGAGTTGTTAAAGTTCAAGGCACCGATGTCAGGTTGCATTTGCAATCTAGTGATCTCCATTGTGATGATGATGAGTAGATGACACGTGCCAAAAACGGGGACAAGAATGAAAGAGTGTCCACAAGCCATAAGATTTGTAAAATATTTAAAAAAAAAAAAAAATGACGAGAGATTATTGAGCGTACGGATACCACCGGCCTCGACCTCCTTCCTCATCTCTCCTCGTGGCCGTCCCCTTTCTCCCTCGAGATAAATTTCTCCTCTTTTTTTATTTTTTTTATTCTCCTTTTAATTCATCTCATGTCATTCGGCCTTCCAGTGCAACAAGATCGCATTGACCCCTCGACAATTTACATCGACTAATTTA